ACCAAGAGAGAAAGAGAGAGAGAGAGAGAGATGATTAACCCTCTGTTTCGCTTCTGCCGTTTGTTCAACGGGAGTTGAAAGGATTAACTGTTATTGTTTTTTCTTTTTATTTTTTTTTTCTCGAATACCTTCAACACCCCGCGAAGATTGTTTGATTTTATAGCGCGCCTTTATTGTCAACTACCAGTTAAAAATTCCCCATAGAAATTTCCTATATTCATTTGCAGTGGCTTTAGTGATCTCTTCTTTTTTTTTTTTTTTTTTTTTTTTTAATTAAATGTAACAACTTCCTTTCGCGCTTTAATTCCTCTGCGGAAATCTCGGACGGTTTGACTTTCAATTTAGAATTGGACTCAACATTGATCTTACTTTTTAATTGAAAAATAATCGTCGACGTAGGTCTGGCTAGTCAGTGTGAAACAAAGTAAAGATAGGCTGAGGCTCGACGTTACGAAAATTAAACGGCTGGTGTTAAAGGAGTTTGTGTTTCTTTCCCGGCCTCTGAGCGAGAAAATTTCGAGGCGCGATGATCTCAGAGGGACACGGAGAGAGTCGCCCGAAGGTATCGAGAGATTTCGTTCCTCTGTGCACCCCCATGTGCAAATACGTATAGCACATAAAAGGGGCCGACGGGTGGATCAGCTTGCTCGTATTTTGCGTCACTTGATCACTCGTTTAATAAACATCGACACACTCGAATTTAATCCGTCGTGTAACGCGCCACGATCCGCGAACGAAGCCAATCGTGATTCCGTGGCGAGCGTTTCAGAAGACGAGCAACTTTTCTGGAAGATGAATCAACTTTTGTTGACGGCTTCCAAGAAAGACGCAAGTTAACTTCCGTTCAAATCTTTTTTTCAAATCAGTTCAAATCGACGCAGTTCAGTTTCTATCTAGTTGGTTATCGAGTAATTTTAAGCGAAAATATTTCCTTAAATATATCTCCAAAAAGGTTTAATTATAATCCAAATAAATATTAATTTATTTGGACCTTTTCGGATATTGTACGTAACTTAATATTTTTCGTTCGAATAAAGTTAAATGAGCAACTCTTGACATTAACAAAATTAAATTAAAATTAAAATTAAAATTATTTATTATATTTTTATGTTATATATATATTTGCTATATTTTATATTATATATATTTATTATATTTTTATTTTATTATATTGTATTAAAATTATTCAAATTATTATTATAATTCAATTTAAATTCTAAATTATATAAATAATTAATATATAATTTATATATATATATATATATATATATATGTAATGAATTATTCCCTCGGAGGTCCACCACACACATACACACATAGCAATATTTTTTAATGGTGGTAAATAGTCATTTGACGAGATCTGTCGTGATTGAAACGTTCGATCCATTTCTCGTCGTATAAAACTCGATCGAACAAAGGTTCGGTGAGACGAGAAGAACATATTACAGTTTGTTTCTTTCTGTGACAAATTCCTGACGAAGACGTGATCTTATGGTTTCCTGGTGAACGCGAAAGCAAGTACACTCCGCAGGTCAATTTTGAATTAGTCTCGATTGCAGTCCTTAAATCTTCGTCATTCAAGGAAAGTGGTCTTCCGGATTCGAGGGAGTGCATCCTCGAGGCTCGCTCCTCGCCCGAAGCAAACTTTTGAAACCAATTTCGAGCAGTTCTTTCCTTCGCTGGCTTCCTTTCCTACTCAAACGCCGTACAAATTTTTGGACGGGCCAAGTTTGAACTCAAGTATAACAATAAACACGTTCAATAACTTGTACTAGCCATTTTAACACCAGAACTAACAAAGTGGCCATAATTTATA